GGGAAGCATGGGTCTTTGAAGCCTGCCCATCTTGGCTTTGAATCACTGTAATGGCTGCAAACTGCCTCCCTCACACGTTATACTGAAAATTTCCATGGTTACCTGATGTCCCATTCATACCACTGAGATTTCACTATGGTTTATACAGTTCAAGAGCATAGCACACTTCAATGTCTAAAAAGGTTTGAAGCCTGAGTTTTGCCTTTATCTTACTTTTGATGTTTGGTTTGTATTTCCTACAGAGTCTCCTAGAATAGTTTTCACAAAGGTATTTTAAGTCGTAGTCATTTGGAGCACTGTGACCTTGCATCCTTCTCTCAGTGTTCTACCATAGCCACTTTTTCATGTTACTGGGCAATCTCGATAGCTCAGTGAGTTAATAAATTCATACCAGCTCATTAAGAAAATATATTCTATTATGTGTAATCACTTCCCTCATTGGGAAATGATTATTTCGGTTTTTCCCTATAACCAATGAAGCCACAAACTTGCCCTTTTCCAGATCTCCCCAACAATTTCTCTATTTTTGTTTTGTTTCTTGTTTGTTTTCTTTAATGCTGGGAAACAAATCTACAGCATTGAGCATGCAGGGCAAACACTCTAGCACTGACCTTCATCCACAGCCCCAGAACTTCCCTTTCTTGACAGTGACATTACTACCGTCCCAGTAGGCTTGCTCTCCTTTTTATCCTTAGGTATTTGCTTTTTGTTATTCATATTTGCTTTTTGTTATTATCAAATGGATTCTTTTTTCATTATTGATGGTATGTACTACCGATTTTATGTTTACTTTGTACAGAGTTGCTTTATTGAACTAATTTGCAGTTATTTCCCTTAGGTTTTCCCAATGCATGAATATATAATCTACAATTAATAATAATGTTGTTTTCTCTTCCACCATATTTTGATTCATGTTTTATTTCATTGGATAAAGCATGGCAGGACATATAAAAATAATGACAGAGAACATTCTACCTTAGTGTAATCTTGTTCAAGCAGTTGAATCCCACTTTTAGCTTTGAATTTTAAGTTGTTTTTTTTTTTTTTTAAAAGAGAGTGAGAGAGGGAGAGAGAGAGAATTTTAATTTTTTTTTTTTTTTTAGTTATCGGCGGACACAACATCTTTGTTTTTTTTTGTATGTGGTGCTGGGGATCGAACCCGGGCCGCACACATGCCAGGCAAGCGTGCTACCGCTTGAGCCACATCCCCAGCCCCAGAATTTTAAGTTTTTTAAATATCAATTGGTATAATTATAAGGCTTTATACAATTTTCTATTTATATTAATATTAAATTGCTCTTGAATTCCTGTGACAAAAACTGATGGTTTTTAATCTGCTCATTTTTATTTATATTTTTTAACACATACTCTTACAAAAAAGAATGCATGTCTTCATTGTCCAATATGGTAGGCACTAGCCCCCTGTGGCTCCTGAGCACTGAAATATGGCTGAAATGATGTGATGTGTCAATTACACAGTGGAATTTAAAAAATCAGTTTTTAAAAAAAGATTGTAAAAACATCTTAATAATATTTTATACTGATTACATGTAGGAATAATTCGGAGGGCTGGGAATGTAGTTTGGTGGTACAGCACTTGCCTAGTACACACAAGGGCCTGGGGTCAAGCCCCAACATTGGCAAAAAAAGAGGAATGATTTGGATATACTGTACAAAATAAAACTAATTTCATTCCTTACTTTTTACATGTGGCTACAATAAATTAAATTACATATGCATTATCTATCTGTTAGGCAGTACTGGTCTACTGTTTCCTCTTTAAAAACATTTCTGTTAAGTTTTCCTGTCAGAGTTGAATCTGCTTCATAGAATCAATCGAGTGGTTTACGATTTGCAATCTGAAATATCTGCTACAAAACAGGGTTATACGGGCACCAGCAGCTTGAAAGGATTCACCCAGATTCAACCTCCTCCTATCCCTATCCCTGTTTTTAAAAAATATTCCAAGATACCAGTTTGTCCCAAGATTCTTTTTATAAAGAATAAAGCCTTACATGCCAGGCACTGTCAAAATTAGGTAACCTAGACTAAATACACAATTGAATCAAGGATCGACTGATAGCATTTCAGATCTCAGTATAAAACAGCTACAAATGTTTCCCACTTCTGACAGGTTTTTATTGAAAAATGTAACAAGCAGCCTTTTCTTTGTTTTGGAGGTGATGTTAACATTCTCTTCACACCAAGGCATGGCCGATGTACCCTGTGGGTATGCTTATGACCACCCGCAGAAAATGTTCCTGCTGCTTTTCTGTTCATTAAAAAAACACACCATGGGGGCTGAGGGTGTTGTTCAGATAGACCCCCTGCTTAGCATGGTGGGGGCCCTGGGTTCACTCCCTACCACCTCACCACAAAAAAAAAGAAAAGAAAAATACACCCTACTATCCTTTTGATCTGAGAACAAAATTTAACCCTTTCAACTCCAAATGACACACTAGCCCACATCAATAACAAGCCTGTTTAGAGGAGTAAGAGAGGTGTGTATTTAACAGGCAGTGAGATGGCATGGGCTGCCCACCCTGACACCTATGGCATGCTGTCACACAGGTTACTGTAGGTATGGAGGATGGTCCAGGGTCCGGGCATGAAAGCTCACAAAGTCCCATGGCAAGCATGGACATGAATAAAGTCCTACAGACTGCATCCCAAGCTATTATAGCCTCAAGTCTCCCTACTTTGAATTTAACACAAACTTGATAATCACCTGAGCTATCTAGGAACACACTAGATAAATGACCATGGGCAAATCAATCACTTAGTACCTCAATTTCTGCATCTGTAAAATGGAAAAAATAAAAAGATCTACTCAAGAGTTAGAGAATTAAATGAGACGGGGTGCATAAAACTCTCGAGAAATTATCTGGCACACAGTAAGCATCCTATAAATGTATACCACAAAAATAATACCATATACTTCAATGTCATTAGCTTCTATCAAGGGCTGACTGCAAGCTTGCTAATTGGAAGCTTGACATTAATGAGTTCACTGATGAGCAGCCTCATCCACTAATTGGAAGCTTGGCATTAGTAAGTAGCTTGTCATCCATGGGACCAGCCACTACCAACTAAGGAACACCCAAGTGTACATCTTCAATGAAGAACAAAGTCTGCTGTGGCTGAATTGATCAATCACTAAAAAAGGCTGGCAAACTCCAGGGTGTACCTCAGGCTTCAGGCAAAGATATCATCATGTCCTTGGGGACAGGTCTACCAGGGATACTTGGGAAGTTCATGTTCTTCCCTGGTGCTTTCTATCCATTACAGTTACACAACTGCCTGCAACTCTCCACTCCCAGCCTCAATCCCTTGGTCTCAGCTTAGTCCAATGCAGGTGGTCAAGGTCACCTGTAGGTGACAGTTGAGGCAACAACCCACACCTGTTTACCTCTACCCCTGGTCTTAACTGCAGAGCCAGAGCCTTCCCTACTCCCAAAGACACTCATCTGTTTCTCACCTTGGAATTTCTACCCATTCACCTAAAACCCAAGGCCTCTTTGAAGAAAAACGAAAACACAAATGTCAACCACTCTTAGCCACAAGACCTCTGTCTTTCTTGAAGGAATTAGAAAAGGAAGAGAATGTATGGTTATAGAATAAAGTAACGACCATTAGAAAATCTGGAGATGGTAGTATGCTGACTTCAGGAATAAAGGATAAGGAAAGCTGTCAGGGCTTCCATAGAAAAGCAAGGAGAAGAGACTCCAGTTGCAAAGAAAGGTGAGGATGGTAGAAAGGAAAGCAGGCAAGCCAGGGTGGCATAGAAGAAAGAAGGGAGAGATGGCCAAGGGCTTTACTCCAGTAAGAGTGACCTCCTCCTGCCTCCACTTTCTCCTCTGCCATCCATCACCATGTCCCTGCCTGGCACCCCTCTCTCACACACGCCTTTCCTTGTCAAAGCAGGGAGGTCCTGATTCCATTAACCAGGGACACATCAGGAGAGGATGCTTTCTGGAAAATCCAAATGGCTTTGTGAATCTGAACCTGGGAATATGACCTCAGTTCTTCAGGAAACATTAGTATGTGTGATGGCAAAGGCCCACATGATGAGGAGGAGCTAAGGAACAGGGTTTTGGAGGCTGGTCTGGAAATTGCCCAGAGAGCTTTGACATTTTTCTTTTTATCTTTTTTTTTTTTTTTTAATGTATTCTGGGACTGTAAACAAGTTCCAACTTCTGGAATGGTGAGTGCATCAGAAATAGTACACATGTTCTCATGCACTGAGTTAATATGTACTATGGTCAAAAATAAGAGTCCAAGATCTTGAGGTGAATTTGAGAAACACCATTCCTCCTCGCAAGCAAGCTTAATTAACCACTTAAAGTATGTATAAATAATGAACTTCATTCAAAGACAGGAAAACTATCCAGAGGACATAGCAATTAGGGGCAGCTTTGTTAATGAAATGAAACTTTAGATGATTCCTTGGAATAATATGCTTTTCTCCAAAAGAACAGAATGCATTGTTTTTATAACAAAAAAAAGAGAAATTCTCCCCTCCACCACAAAACCTTTATAAAATATAAGAATGTTCTTATATTTTAATTTAGTTCTTGTTTGTTGTGTTAAAATCAAAAGGTAGCCTAAGCTCAGCATTCAGCTTGCAAAACAGCATTTGTTCAATATGTAAGACTTTCTCTCCTTAGGGGAAAAAAAAATGCATTAGGCAATTTTTTCTTCAGATCATCTTTCTTCAGTGAAAATCCATTTCCTTCCTTCCTTCCTAATCCTTTCATTTCAAATACTTGGTTCATTAGTGTCATGACAAACTAATAAGTTACTTGACTTTCCCCTGAGGACTATACAAACTTTGGTCATTTTCCCCATGAATCATCTGACAAAAAGTGGTAGTACCACCAGGCACACACACCAACCTGTGGCAGAAAAAAACAGACAGGAGAGAGAGGCTAGAAAGACTGACAACTGCAGTCTAGGCTGACTACTAAGCCTGCCTATCTTTAATTATGAGCTGAAATTACCTTGGTTTGTTCGCTGTCTGGGTCTTCAAGCCAAGCATAAGGGTCACAAATTTTATGCCCATGATAATCCTGTACCTGTAAAAGACAATATGGAGCTGTTAGATAATTAGGGCCTAAACCCAATTAAAATTAGTATTTTCTCAATGTGATGGAGAAATAGGAAAGGGACAAAAAATACTAACTAATTGGCTCACTGGCAACATGTCTGCCCAAATTACCACATGAACCAAAATTGGCAGGTTCTCAAAGGTGTCAAGCCACTCTTTGTGAAAAGAACATTTTAGCTGTAGAGGGAAGAAAGATGAAAGGTCAGAATGGGAAACTGCTCTGTCTGAACAACACAAAACAAAGGCCTGCTGCTGTGCTAAAGAAACTCGAAAATGTGCAGTCAGGGGCAAAGCACAGGACACAATACTGTGGGCACATGAGGAGGGCACTCTGAGAAGGAGCCACCACACGTGCTTGTTTTCCTGCTCCTGCTAAGCGTTGCCTGTGATCAGAAAGTCTCCCTACAATACAGCATATGGTCAGTTTTGTTTTTAAGTCTCAAGTGCCAAAAAGGAAGTCACTAATACATGGCAGAATGATTGTCAACGGCTAAAAAAGGTGGTTTACGTGCAATGAAGACTTTTTAAACTGAAGCCCTTCTTCTTGTTATACACTATTACAAAATGCCTTTGTTCACTTACAGCAAGACATGAAAGCATAACCATTTAAACTATCCTGGTATATGAAGAAATAAAATTGCTTTGGGTAAGCTGGGCGTGGCAGTATGGCCTGTAAATCCAGGGACTCAGAAGGCTAAAGCAGGAGGATTACAAATTCAAGGCCATTTAGACAACCTGTCTCAAAATACAAAGGCCTGCAGATGTAGCTCAGCAGTAGAGTGCCACTGGACTCCATCCCCACTACCAAGGTGGGGTGAGGGGCTGCTTTGCATAAGTAGAGCCTGCCAGAGGGGAGCCATCCCATCTGGGAAGCTTCTGACTGCACAAATTCCAGGGCCTGGCCTCAGGGATTAGTTAAGGGAGCTGCAAGGAACAACTGGGCCAATTTGTCATCACTCTCCAGATCATGATGCCTAAAGAACTTATTCAAAAGGAAACCTCTCCCCCTCAAACTATCAAGATTAATCCAATCCACTGAAGCCACAATGACAAGTCTTTCCAATCAAGCCTGTAACCAATGCGAGTCTTCCAGTCAAGGCTTTCTGCACAGGGTTATTGGCAAGGTTACCTCTGTCTTGGATTGAGTTTTTAATATCTCTTGCTTTGTTTGAAAATATCAAAAGGTAAGGGGCACTCCTTCTAGCAAAGTATCCTAGAAAAGTAACATCTGAATCCCATTTTTCGCCCTGGTTAAAGTTCCAGCATAACCACTGCCAGGTGAGAACAACCTCCATGGCCTACAGCACCAGGCTTTCTCCATCTGTCTAACTGATGCAGGTGAGAGAACTCCCGAGGAAAGGGATAGATGAAGCAGAACATGCTGGAACTATTCTCACTATACAACTGACTGTCAAGGGCAAGGAATGTAAAACCTGACTAAAATCTCTCCTGATGGGTCTTCATAAAATTACCAATTTTCAATTTTACCTCTTTGGAGTTTAGCTGTCACCACTGAATGAAAGCTTTTCATCTCATCTGCAAGTCTTATATTTTACACACCTTGGTTATAAAACAGGCTTAAAATAACAATTCTCTTTTCCTTGGCAATATGAAATCAAAAAAATTTTTGAAAGTTGTAAAGGATCTCCAACCCAGTATGCAAGATCTGTGCCAGACCTGGGATTAAGATTAAGATTAGGTAGAGATCAGATACTAAAAAAATGTCCTAAGGCATACCCAGGAACTTAACTTTTTACAAAAAAAAAGGTAGAAAAGATTAACTAGAAATCATGTTAACTATATGACCAAGAGAAGGTACTGATTGCCAAATGCTAGACTCAAAGTAATAAATATTTACTGAATATCCACAACTCTGGAAGAGGGTTGTGGACATTCTTATTTCACAGATTATGAAATGCAATTCAGAGAGGTTAATAAGAATGAAGGCCAACAGATTTACTGTTTATATTGGAGATTATGAGTTAAATTTGTGCCATAGATTTCACCCACATTACTTCATTTGATCCTCACTGTGAAGTCATTTGCCAGATGAGGAACCTGAAGCTGGAGAGAACTAAAGCAATTAACAAAGGTCTGAGGGTTAACAAGTAGGACTGCAACCCACCCACAGATAACTACAAAGCCTATGGATCTAAGATCCTGCTGTATCACTCAGCAAATGAGCAGGGCGTGGTGGGAAAAGGCAGGTGCACGGCTAGACTGGGAATCAGAATCCTGTGTATGGTATACCAAGCTATCTACTGAATGGCATCTACCACTAAAGAAACAGCCATATCTTCCCAGACCTGGCTCTGTCATCTAAAGCAGACTGAGGTTGGTCATTGAAAAGACATTTTAACGAAGACAAGAAATTGATTTTCAGCGTGATCCCACAGTCAATTCCAGAAGCTGTGGCCCACACACCACCCTAGTTTTGTTTTTTTTTTTTTCCTTTTATAAAACCATACCCTACAATTGGGGTGGTCTCATAGACACATTCCTTGAATGCAAATCATATAATATGTCTGGTTCTTCCATCTGATTGTAAGTTTGCAAACCATTCCTTACCTCCCCAAGAGGTTTTAAAACAGAGGCCTGAGAAGGCACTGTGTTAGGTAACCCTGTTCCATGTTTTATCTATACTGAACAACAGCTTGCCCACTGCTTTCAGGATAAAATATAGACACACTCAGCTGGAAGGACCCATTAAACTTGGTCCTGCTCCTCTTCCCAGCCTCATTCAAGCTTACCCATAAATGAATGGCCTAGTCACAATGGCCTTCCTAATACTACAAACAAATGCAATTCTACAACCAACCAGGCCTCCATAACTATCTTTATTTTAGTCTCAACTTCAGCAATGTCCTTCCTCCCTATCCAACTGGTTAACTCCCAATCTCAATTCACCTATTATTTCCTCCTCCTGATGGAAATCAGCTCCATTCTCTTTTGTGTTCTCCTTCCAGTACTCTTCCATCATGGTGTGAGCAAGACTGAATATCCTGACAGAAACACTGATGGAAAAAGGTCATAGAACTGCACAGGAAGTGTCATGGTTTCCAAATTTTTACCCAAGAAGGCAGAAATCCACCAAAAGCGTTCCATGCTCTAATCCATAGTTCAGCAGGAAACTGCTAAGCATGTGGCTGAAAGATGCTCAAGTGAGAAAGAGAGCTATAGCCATCTCTAGTGCTGGTGAGAAACAAACTCATGTTCCAAATCAAATGCATAAGTCAATCCTAGGGCTTAGTGACTAGAACCCTGATTCAGGAAAAAGGCAGTCCATGCAGGGTGCCAGGGATAGTGTAAGTACACTAAGTGAGCAACAGAAGAGGATCTAGGCTGGACCCTAGCTGTGTTCCCTCGGCCACTAGACTTAGTTATCAAGAGTTCTTTGGTGATAAGAAACTATAGAGAATATTAAAATTCAGAGTATAACCTTCCAAGTTGTTTGTAATCTTTTAAATGTTCTTATGAAATCCCTACTTAACCCTTTCAGAAACTGTTGAACACAGAAAAACCAACTATAGGATTTTGCTACACAGAATAGCGAAGAACTAAGCAAGACGCAACCACCCTTTAAAAAAAAAAAAAAAAAAAAAAAAAACCTAAAATTGTATTACTGCAGAAACAAGTAAGCCCTAAGGTCAGTCTTAATGGTCCATATATGTGGAAAAAAAAGCCTGTAACAGGTATATCTGACAAAAGTCACCTAGCTAGTGAGTGAAAAAAACAGAATTAGCAATCTGTCCTCTTTCCCATTCTAGCAGTATGGTTTCACTCCCATATACAAAGGAAACAAACCTTTGGGACTCAGGGAAAGAACTTCTTGGGCTGTTAGGGTAAATTTACTAAGTGAACAGCTGAACAGACTTAAGAGACATGGATCCCAGCTGGCCAGTGGGAATGAGATACACTTGGAAGTCTTCACTTACAACAATATGTCCTTTAATGCCTTGGCACCCTTTACCCCAATGTGAGATGTGCTTTAGAGTACAAAATTTCTGGCACAAATCAGGTCAAAGTAAACAGAACAAAAAAAAAAAAAAAAATGAGAAGTGTATCATACAAAAATATTTTTCTAATTCTATTTTAAGTGATCTGAGAAATTTGGCTATCCGTTCAAGAATCATGACCACAATGTCTGGATTCAATCCAGCTCTTAAAATGCCAAACTAATTTTACACCAGAATAGAGGTGTCTGCTCAGAATTTCACTCCCTGGATCTCAATAATTACCTCGAATTCTTCTGCAGCTTAGGTAAATGACTAAATCCCGCTAGGCAAAACTTACTTTGAAAAAGGCCATCCCCCATGACCCCTCAACTCCCTGTCTTGTGTAAGAAAACTTACACCAGCCCTGTGACAATAGCGGGTCCCTGCTTTTCTTTCCCTATGACTCTGTCTGGGTCTTTGCGCCCCCGGCAACCAACGCCCAGCACTCCGCTCAGGACTGGGCAGACTTAAAACAGAATGAATGAGCTTCAACTCCAAGGACTTCAAAATTCTAAGTTTTAAAAGTTTGCTTCTGTTTTTAAATCTTACATCATCTCACACGAACACACATGCACACACCGGCGTACACTTTCTCCTACCACCATATTTAAGAGGCTTCTCTAGTCAAAAAGCAATGACACCTTCTGTCTTCCTAGTCCCTTAAGGCGCCCCTTCCTAGCTGGGCGTCTGCCCTTGACCCCATTGATTTTAGGAAGCGGTGCTGACCACGGACTCGGCCGCCAGCAGACCGCCAGGAGACCATCAGCGACCGCCAGCCGGGCCCCTGCGCCCCCGGCCCATTTCTTGCAAACAAAGGCCGAGGGGGAGGGGAGGGACGCAGGGGCTAGGGGCTGCAGGGAGATGAGCCGCAGGCGGCGGTCGGCCAGGCGGGGCGGGCACCGGCGGTCCTGAGCCCGGTGGACTCGGCAGGGGTACTCACCACGGTCTCGTCGCGGTACACGTCGGGGTACTGGAAGGACAGCATGGCCGGGGACGGGCAGGAATACGTGGAGGGCGCGGGTTCCCGGAGCGGACGCGAGAGGGCTGGGCTGGCCGCGGGGCGACTCAGGGGCGCGGGGCTGCAGCCGGGCGGTGGCGGCGGAAGGACGGCTCTGGGACAGCGCGCTCTCGACCACACTGGCGGCGCGGTGCGGGGATGTGAGCCTAGCAGGAAGCAGCTGTCGGCGAGGCCGGGAGCCCCTCCCCGCCGGGCGGGCCTAAACGGCGGCAAGAGGGAAAGAACTCGCCGTGCGGGCGCCAGGTCTGGCGCACAGCTCCCTCTGCAGGAGCGCCGGCCGCGGCCGCGCCGCCTGGGTGCACGGAGGAGCACGCCGGGTACGCGCCGCGCCCGCGCCGGCCGCCGGGCCTCAGCGTCCCGCTCTGCCGCCGCCGCGCTCTGGAAGGAAACTCAGGCTTTGCCTATTGATGGATTGCCTCATCTTATCCAGCCGCCCTTTTTCCGGGAGACTTTCTTTGCCTCTGCTCCTGCGGTGGCCTAATTTCTATTGCGTGCGATTCTGGACTTGGAAGGAAGAAGTAAAGATCGTGATAAGCGTGGAAGAAACTCCCTCCACCCCAGCACCCCTGGTGGACAACGGCTGGTTCCGCATCGAGATTTTGGAGGTTCTTTGAGTTGTTCTCAGGGCAATGGATGAGCCCCTATTTGAAATCTACTGATTGAGAAGGGACCAAGGTGGCGGGATTGCATATGATCTAGGATATTTTACTCCTTCTGCTGGTTCCTTCCCTTGGCTCCTGTTTATACATGTTGAGCACCTACTGCTACCCTTGTGAGAGAAAAACAGTAAACAGGATGCTTCACTCAGACCCTTGAAATTTTAATAGTTACATTTCTTCATCTTTGAGCTACTGAAGGTGTGTATTTTGGTCTTGTTCTCTAGATCACCCAGAAAAGGCTATTCAGCTCCAGTCATCCAAGCTGTTGTGTGTACACAGTGGGTTTTCTATCCCTGGCTTCTTACAAGTCCTGGAAAAGGGCTTGGGTGGGGCCAGAAAGTCCCTCTTGTCCTGAACGTGAACATGTAACTATTGTACACTTGTGTCTTCTATTTCTTTTGTGGTATCATTTCAGTCCATGCCTCCCCCTTTAGTCAGCGTTTCTAATCATGGTAGGGTGGGTAATGATCATTTTCTATATCTGTTCCTAGATTCATCTTTTAGGCCATCCCAAAATTCTCAGTCCTGGGAGAACTCATGCTGTTGATGCTGAATAGTGGAAACACACACAGGGGCTGAGGACCCTGCAGTTCCTGGTCCCAGTTACCACCTCCACCCAGGAACTGCTTATTGGTGCACCTTGCTGCCACTTGTGAGGGGGTTCTTTAAGAGCATCTCAGAGACACTTGAGCCAGCAGATCCTCTAATAAGAAACAGTTAATGCTTATTTTTTTAAAGCACCAGGATGTTGTCCTATTTAAACTTTCTGATATGAAACCTAATATTATCCCAATTTGACTGTTGTAGTCATTGGACTGACTTTTGTCCAGAGCTTCACAAATAGCCAGGATTCAACCCAGGTCTCACTATGCCAGCACTCATTCTAAACCACTCTGATGGCCTCTCTCTTTAGAAACAAGTAGGTGAATTCTGTATTCTACAAGGGTATCCACTAGGAGGGGAAACTTCCCTGGGATTTCAACTTAGAGGACTGAGGTAGAAAGTATGGCAATTGTGGTACTCAAAGGACAAATCAAACCTCAGGTATCATCCTTTTCCCTTCGAGTCAGACATCCAGGTGCCTGACTCCTTTGGGCCCTGAAAGTTAAAGATTTGTGTGTGTGTGTGTGTGTGTGTGTGTGTGTCACAGATGCAGTGGGCTAGAGCAACAAATTGCACACAGGTGAGATGAGTGGAAAGGAAGGTAAGAGAGCATACATTCCCCTCCCAACCACTGGACACTTGATTGTGTTGTCTCCTTTAATCCTATAACAAAGCCCATTTTATAGGTAAGGAAAAAGAACCCCATCAGGTGGAAAGCTTTTAGGTCATTGCACAGCCAAGACAGAATCAAGATTCAACTTCATCAATTGACTGCAAACTCAATCTTGTCCATAGAAAAAATGAAGAGAAAGGAAGTATTTGAGCTGTCTCAAAAATTGAAGTACTATCTGCAGAATAAACACCAGAGTGCTCTGTCATTACAGCTTGTTTTTAAGGGAATTTTAGAATTAACACGGAAAATTCATGCTCTAACCTAGAGCAACCCATTCCTAGAACTCTAGGCCTGGAATAGGGTGGAGACTGGGGTGGGGAGTGAGACACAGAAGGACTGTAGGTCAGCCTTCAGCCTCTCCTCTATGATGTGACCTCAAACTTTGTGCCCCATTCATTTATGCAGTCACCCCCTAAGAGGCAGGCTAGTGACCATGTCCTGCTCCTTGGCTCTCAGTTCTCCTTGAGTTGCTTATCAAAACATTCCTCCTACCCACATGCAGTCTCTTCAGGAGAGGAATTCTGGGAAACACACAGGGATATTCAGTTGGGGGTGGGGGGTGGAAGCTAAACTCCATCTCACTGTCTACTTGCCACACTGAAGACAGGGACTGACTGCATTCACCCAGAGGAAGAAGTGTCTTTATTCTTGAGAGACTGCACCTGCCCATGGAAAGCATATATTTTTAATTCACACAAGGGTGCCATCTTATTAGCACACTCTTAAAGACTCAAGTTTGCATGATGCCTGGACAATTCACCTTTTAATTTGACTCTGATTTCCAGGTAGCTAGCTAATCTATTGACTAGTAGAATGCAGTCATTTTGGACTACTTTCCCCCAAGATTTACTTTACTTTTCCTGTGTAACTTTTACTGAAAATGCCTATGTATTCTTTTACAACTAATCTCTGCATAGCATCCCGAAGTGTGAAACAGTTCCTAGAAAGAGTAATGTCCTCTTTCTGGCTTTGATACTAACTGGTTTCCTGGCTTTGAATGAGTCTATTATATCCTCAGTACCTTAGTTCACATTTGAGACAAATGAATCAGATGATTTCAAAGAATTCTAAGGCTTTATTCTAAGTGAGAGCTACAGTAGAAATATAGGAACCTCAAAACTAACTCTGAATTAAAAATGAAATTGCCTGTGGGGAGTGCTGTCCTTACCTTATGAAAAGATTGAAGTTAAGACTGGGCAGTGATCATCTACCTACTGAAAGGACTTTATAATTTCTTTGGTTTTCAAACTGTTCACAAGGGCAGACTTGGCTCTAAGGGCTATTGCTGGGCCTGTAGTCTATACTGAACTTGTAGATCTAACCTTTTTAGGAACTATTACTGTTCCCTTCTAATACCATTCTCTCAGTATAGACAAGGTTAAAGAGATACATTATAGCTGGGAAGTCCAGCTCTCCACCCTATTCCTCTCCTTCTCAGCTTAATGCCTGGCTGAATTAGGTACTAAATGAGAGGATAAGGCTGAATTCAGCCCAGGTTTAAAAAAAAAAAAAAAAAACATGGGCAGAGAAGGCAGATCAAGAATGAATCTGGCCTGGCTCCATGGCGCATGCCTGTAATCCCAGCAGCTTGGGAGGCTGAGGTAGAAGGATTGTGAGTTCAAAGCCAACCTCAGCAAAAGTGAGGTGCTAAGCAACTCAGTGAGACCCTGTCTCTAAATGAAATACAAAATACGGCTGGGGATGTGGCTCAGTTGCCAAGTACCCCTGAATTCAATCCCTGGTTACCCCCCCACCCCCAAAAAAAGAATGAATCTGACAAAATAAGAGAAAGAAGGCAGTGCATTATGTGTGGATGGAATATCATAAGAATATAAGGAAAGTCAGGGGAGTAGAAGAAGAACATGGAGAGGGAGAGAGGAGGGACAGGAAGGGGAGGAATATTGGGTGAATTCAATAAAATCATGTTATATGCATATATATATACATATATATGTATATGTATATATATATATATATATATATATATATATACACCATAGGGAATCCCATCTTTATTTATATGTAAAAGTACCAATCAAAAATAATAATTGGCAGAGTAGAGGAAGAGGGAGAGATGAGGAGAGAAAAAGCAGGGAAATGGGGATTGAAACCAAATTTCATGTGTGCACAATTCTGTCATAATGAACCCAACTACTATGTAAAACTATAATGCTCTAATTTAAAAGAAAAAAAATCTGGAGAATTTTCCCACTTAAGTTCATTGAACATATTTATACCCTTTCTAATGAAATTCTTAAGATGGGAATATTGGTATATTAGGAGAGAGGAATCTTTTTTCATATGGTGTTTTTAGGAGAAAATGCAGGTGTGGTCCTGCATATAAAATGAACTTGGTTTATTAAAATAGAGAAAGATAAAATTATCTATTCACCTGCTATTTTAAATTACAAACTGAAAACTCAAAACAATTCAGTAAATATAATAGGTGGTAGAAGAATGTATCATTTTTAAACTACTGGCTCTGAAGTTAAAGATGTAGGAGAATAGGACCACAGTAAAAGGGAGAAAAAATGAGATAAAGCACAATAGACAGAGCATCACAGATTTGCTAATATCAGGAAAGGTTAAAAAAAAAGTATATGCACAAAGTGCTTCGAAGACAAATAATAAACACATGAAAATAGGCAGAAAATCAACTAGACACCCTTTATAATGTCGTTTCCTTTTATGCTCTCAAGAAAGATTGCCCTGAAAACAAATGACCATCAGAATTGTCTATCACAAAGGGCCATCTTTAAAGGAAAGCATCTTGTTGCTTTTGGGAAACCTAACTCAGAGGATTTGTGATGATTAAATAACTGATGATTGAATTCAATCAAACACCATGAGCAGGATCTATATTGTTTTTTTGTCCATTAGCATTCAGCAATATATTCCACTTCTTTGCTGTCCTCTATATTGCAAGGAGCAATATAATTGCAAGCCTGTAAACTTCCTTTCATAAACTCCCTTGTGAGTTTATTTCTGTCCAGGTCTACCAAAGGAAAAAAATAGAGATTAAAGGAGGAAGGAGGAGAGACACTTCTTTTTGCTTAAATTCTCATAATGGCAAGAAACTGCAAATCACTAAAACCTCATGCAATACCAGCACAGATGGGTCATCGGGGTGGTGGTGGTGGGATCTTGGGCCCCAGCAGCTTCAGCGAATTCAGCAAAGGGACTATGGACGCCCAGGCTCTTGCAGAATCAGTGAACGTGCAGGGTAAGGACTTTTAAGCAGTAGCAGCAATCA